ATAAGGGATGCAGCGCGAGCACGAAGGTGCTAGAAGAAACGTGAACGTGCTAGAAGAAACGTGCTAGAAGAAACGCCTCGCCTTTCGTTTCACGTTTCTTCTAGCACCTTCGTGCTCGCGCTGCATCCCTTATTACCATTAATTCCAACCAACTAGCCCAAAAAACCGTTCTTCTTCAATAACAAAACGGCCGCGAGCGCACCATGAGTGTGGCATGTAGTCATGTTGTTACATGACACGCATGTCGTCATTATCATGTTTGAATGTTTCATTTACCTATGTCGTCAGTTCGCGTCACGTAGTACCGAGTTTGGTACATGTGAAGCTAGTGGCACGGCCGCGAGCGCATCATGAGCGTGACATGTAGTCATGTTGTTACATGACACGCATGTCATGATTTTCATGTAGGGCCTGTCGCTTGTGTTCGCCATGCAATCATGCAATACCATACCAGTTTTGTAATAAGCCATGTGAACGAAACCACCGCAAGGGCTGCAGGACCTTGAAATCTAAATCACGACATTCATGACAAACGTGTGATGTTTTCCATGTTATGACTACTCAAATATGTCCTTCATAGTCATGTTAGGCCACACCAACTTTGGTATTGATACCATTACTGAAACGGCCAGGAAAGCTTAAAGTCGTAGGCGGATAGATAGATAGATAGATAGATAGATAGATAGATAGATAGATAGATAGATAGATAGATAGATAGATAGATAGATAGATAGATAGATAGATAGATAGATAGATAGATAGATAGATAGATAGATAGATAGATAGATAGATAGATAGATAGATAGATAGATAGATAGATAGATAGATAGATAGATAGATAGATAGATAGATAGATAGATAGATAGATAGATAGATAGATAGATAGATAGATAGATAGATAGATAGATAGATACGCTCGAAGTCGCCGAAGTTCGCTAAGAAGTGCTTCGGATTTAAAATTTGCAAGCGGGCTTGTCTTTTGTCGTCAGTGTTGTTTCATGAGCCGTTTAAGTCGATTCATAGGACCCATATGCGTGCGCAGGGCTCCTCTTCATGGATCGGAAGGTTCAGCAAAGCACCCACCATCCCCCTATAATATGAATGTATGGGGCTGACTTTACCTCCCCCCCCCCCCATCTTAAGCAACAAGGAGGAGGGGGGCGGCGGCCACCCCTCCTGCACCACTCTCCCCCGTGCGCATGCCCATGACAGGGTTGCCTCTAAACAGAGCGGTTCTTCGAGCTCTTGAATGGCATTGTGTTTCACCACACTGCCGAAGTGGAACTCGGAAGCCGCGGAGAAAGAACCACGTGCTTGTCACTCATGCGTCAAATGTTTCGACGATACCAACTACAGTCATTTAATAAACTCATTCAATGAATAAGAAGTGTTGAAGTTTTACGTCCTATAACCGTGATATCATTATGAGGCCCCGACGGAGTCGCAAATGGGCTCTTAAGAAATTTGGGCGGTGAAGCCTTCCAGCCTATTATCCGAAATAAACGGAGTATGGTAAGAGGACGTCGTACCGGAGAGTTGAGAGAAGGTCAGAGTGGTCCTAATCACCACGCAAGGTAAAATCACTTAGCTTGCATAACCTCCCGCCTATAACCCTTATTTGTTGCATTGTGGAAGCATTGGAACATGCTCAACATGGCCGGATGTCGAGACTTACCGAGGGGAACGAGCTTTTCGCATACTACATGGTGGGTTTCCGGTACTCTCCTTCCACACATGGTGTAATTCCCCCGCTCAAAACACAACCAGTCGACTCTCAAAAAGGTATGTTAATGAGTCTTCGCTCATCACCTATCAAAGGCCTTCGACAGAACAACACATAGCTATATTCTTTTCTTAAGATAATGACTTTCGACTTGGAAATTTTCTTTATTCGTTGAATCAATCCTCGATAGCAGGACGGTAATCATAAAGTTCGTTCAATTTATGTCGGAGCCTTTCATACTCGGAAGAAGAGCTACTCAACGCGGGACGATTATCTCATCCCAGCTCTTCAACATTGCAATTCGTCAGTTGTCGTAAAGCATTGCAACAAATCCTTATGTATGTCCCGGATTATATTCTGACAAAGTTACAATCTGCTGTTCCTTAATATCGAAGGTGACTTTTCAAACGTCCTTTACAGGAAGCTTTAGACGTTACGCTTTCTTAGAGAGTATGCGATTGGCCCACTCGCCGGATAGGTCAGAAGTTCTGCTGTACAGACAGGCTTGACGGGATTCTGGGAGACCCCTCCCCACTCGTTCTGGTACCCATTAGCGTACATACTAGTGACAGGTGTGCAATCGCTAGAGTAAAGTATGTGAAAACTCTCGGGCTTTTACTGGACTCAAATGGCTCCAATGCTAACACCATATCCCATTACCACCACGAAAATACGGAACATTCCGAGATTACTTATGAGAGCGAAGACACAATGCAACCCAGTCGACAATATACCACTCAAGTCTCCTCAAGCTTTCTCTATGAGCCTTGTCACTATCGTAGCCAGCGCTTTCAACTGCGTGAAACCAGGGACATGAATTAGACACACTATGCGCACAAAAAAGTCAAAAAGGTACTCGCAGTCTTCATCACCGCTAGCTCAGGTACACTCATGAACTTTGGACAACACTACGCCACTCTGGTGCTAATTTAAGTACAAAAGTCAGCACAAACATTATTAGACTCAGTTCCAGTGGTCATTTACAGCCATAGGGTAACTGAGCAATAACAAGAATGTTGTTTATTACCTTTGCGCTATTTAACGATTTTATAACCATCACGCAGTAACACAAAATTTTTCAAACAACAACAAACTAGTGTGGCATGCATTGTCAGCGTGCTGTCATGTTAGAGAGTAAGAAGTCCACAGGCTTGCGTGAGGGCTAAAAGGCTCACTGTAGCTTCGTGATAAAATTCTACGTGATGCTAACTTTAAGTAGGAGTTCTTATTGCAAAATCTTGTCACTAATTATTTCATGTTTCCTCGACAAGAAGTTAGTTGGTACGTTGAATCCTCTCTCCATGGGCGCGCTTGAAGGAATGGTGGTATTAGACAGTTAAAAACACCACACGCAACAGCTAATAGTTACGCATTGTTTTGATGCAGGTTTCCATGTCCTCTATGAAGTACTGCGCTTCAAAACAATGCGTAACTATTAGCTGTTGCGTGTGGTGTTTTTAACTGTCTAATACCACCAAGCGCGCCCATGGAGAGAGCATTCAACGTACGCATTGTTTTGATGCAGGTTTCCATGTCCTCTATGAAGTACTGCGCTTTACATACATTTAATAAAAAAAAAGTACTGCGCTTCTCTGCTGCTGGAACTCGGGTGATGTGTTCCAGGTAAGGCTAAGGAAAAGGTAAAAAAAATCAGGAACTTTAGCAATTCTCTGTCTGACAGGACAGGTTCCTTCTTATAGAGTGGTTGCATCTTTTTCAGGACCACAGCTGCCGTAGAAGGCTATTTAGAACATAATTTTATAAATGAAAGGTAATTCATTGGCACTAATCAACTCGAAGAAAGTGTAATTGAGTAACATGTAGCGTTACAGTTTCAAAAATATAATGTAATATATTGGTGAATAACATGAAAGTGTAGTTATCAATCAGTTGTAACCCCTTTATCATCATTGGTAACTTAAATTGTTACTTTTTGTCGCACATTTGCCAGTTGGTCTCTCATAGCATGTATGAGCCATGCTTTTATAGGCCAACAACATCGACAACCACCACACCGGGAAGCAGCTGGCGCAAAAGGCACGCGCGACAGAAGAAGACGTTTCATCGCTGGGGTCACCCACAGTGACCTGGGACACAAGTCACTGTGGGTTAACATTAAATGAAATGGCCGATGCCTCAGCCGATGCCCCACCACGGTAATCTAGAGGCTAAGGTACTCGGTTGCTGACCTGCAGGTCGCGTGTTTGAATCCCGGCTGAGGCGGCTGCATTTCTGATGGAGGCGGAAATGTTGTAGGCCCGTGTACTCGGATTTGGGTGCACGTTAAAGAACCCCAGGTGGTCGAAATTTCCGGAGCCCTCTACTATGGCGTCTCTCATAATCATATGGGGGTTCGGGACGTTAAACCCCACATATCAATCAATTGTCAATCAATCGCATCGCGAGATCTCCCAATATTTCTGTTTCTCCCGGTAATAGAATATTTCACCGTAATCAGGCATGGCAGATTAGCTATTCCCGCAGATAGGATGGAATCCATAACGACGTGGACGGAATATAAGCACCTAAAATTTCAATGGAAGTTGCAGTGGAGCCAAAGGCTTGACAATCAGAAGTGACGATCACCAGATTTCGACGCCATGTCCCTCCATTAAACTTTTACTTGCACAGGGCTGGTTTCACGATATCACCCCTCTGCCAATTCTGCCGAGAATGGGCAAATATAGCACATTATTTTTTGTCAAGTTCAAGATATTCTCGTATTATAACTCGACTTCTCATTACTTCTCTTCCAAAAATAGGCTTAACCTTATCCGTGGAAAATGTTTCAAGCTTCAGTGCCTCAGGATTGGGATATGGCCACAGGGTTGTCTTTGATGTCGCGTGTAGCTTCATTATATCCACTGAACGAGTACCAGTTTAATCTGATATTTTATATGCTTCATATAAACAAGCTAAAACCTAACTAGAGTTCTCGAAATTGCTCATATCGGGTTAATACGCAATATAAGCTTTAAAACATAATACTTCTACTTTAAAATTTAGTGTATTACATATTATTCACATTTATTTCTTTATGTTTTCAATAACCTTGTATTCTTAAAATAATATTTAAAAGTCTCAACGTAGCATTTGGCTAACCCCCCAAAGTGGGTACGTGCCATATATTGAAGAAGAAAAAGAAACAAACGGGTCACCCACCTACTTTATCGGCTCTCCTTTTTTCTTGCTAAGAACGTACTTGCCCGTTATGTCGTCATCGGTGAGATCAACGCATGACGATGGTTCATCGAAAGCTGAGTCAACCGCAGTGGCGATGACACGCTCAGTGACGGACGGCGCCCTGGCCAACTCCAAGCCTGTGACGCCGGACAAAGCGACCCCTCCCGTGCGACGCAAGACTCGACAGCGCTACCTCGGGAAGACCAAAGCTGACAGCGAAACGCCAGCTTCTGTGACTATTAGTTCATCTAAATCATCTACGACTCAAAGCACCCAAGTCAGTTCCTCGAATTCCCGTTTTCTTACACAGCCACCCGTATCGTAGTAATAGGTGCCACGCCAGATAGAATTTGAAGGGAGGATGGAGACTTGAAGGAAGTGCCGTTTCGACGTGATGATTTCTCGTCGGCACAGTATCTTTCTCAGGACCCACTCGTCAAAGCTTCCCGCCATACGGCAAGCCTTCGTTTGAAAACGTGGGCTCCAGTTATATACCCTTTCCAGTAATTTGTTACTTCTGTAATCTCGTCAATACACAAATAAATCGCGTAACACTTGATGACATCTTAAGCATGATGTCAGTGCTACGTGTACTTATACATGAATAGATTCCTTTCACATGAATTTTCTAAAATGGTCGAGAAAGCTTTTGCACTGAGAACCATGTAAGGCGCCTCAAAAAAGTGGGTTGAAATTTTCACCTAATCGTTCGATACGGAGCTTGCTTTTAAGACCTCTTTGTCTTTCTTGATTATGGCTGCTACTTTCATACAGAATAGCTTACAGTTAAAAAAAAACTCTGGTACACATCCTAGTTTGTGTGCTCAAAGCCTTCGTGCGAAGTTGTCTTATTGATGGTGTGCGCATGAAACTACCATTCGAAATATTTGCGACCAGCGCCGATGTTGCACCGGCGAGCACCCCGAGTGTGCACCGGCGAGCACCCTGAGGCTGCAATTACGGCCAACTTGGTTTTTGTAATAACGGACGAGCTTTATTTTAACGAACGAAAGCACTTTTATGTACACTCCATTTGAAATAAAGCAAACTGTTTCGCAGACAGAGGAGAAGGTGGAGAGTGCAAGGATCCCAGATGCCAATGTCCCACGTGCTGCAAAGGGAGCTGCCGCAGCCGACTTTCCCGCTAAGCAAGGTGACCTGGAACTTGCCCGCCCTACAGCTCCCCGGGTCACTAAGGCCACGGCTTCGACGCCTCTACCTGGGTCATCCCAACATCCTGCCTCATCTCTAAGCGACGCCGCTGCGCCAACAACCTCTTCCCGCAAGGCCAAGAAGGGCCGGCAATCCTTGAATAACTTGATTGCGCTGCTCAACGTTCATGCTGAGCCACCCAGTCGCAAGGCGAGTTTTATTCATAAAGATTTCTGACCAATAGTTGCTAATTGAGATGTCGGCTTGTGCAGTTGCTCAAATACAACACAAAAGAAAGGAAATGTACATGGCCGCCCGTTCCGTTTCACTGCGTGTAATGTGCGTTTGAGAAGTTACCTGTTCACCTTTCGCTTATGAGATTTCTTGAGTGGCAAGAAAACTCTCACTGTCCTTCCTTCAGCGAATAAGGCGACGTATTGTTAATTGTTGCTAAGAAGCAAGGCAACTAAACTGTTGTAAGTGTGAAAAGGCGCAATTGAATAAAAGCTGACGAATTTCATGTCAATAATATCTGTCTTTACCATCCGCGCCTACTCTACGGGACGTTCTAGATGCCCTTTGCGACAACGTTTTCGCATTGTTATACCTTTCCAAGCGAAAGTTCCCGTTTGAAACTCTACCAGATTGTATCTCGGCTCTGTGTGAAATAGTCACTGCCTGCCCTACATATGGTCTTGAAAATCAAGCTTTGTGAAATTCACCACTGAGAGGCATGTTATTAGCCCTTTAGCAAAAAAGTTATGTATCCAGGGGGACACAAAGTGTGACAGATGCTAACGTTGTTAATTGCCCAATTAACTAAGACTAAAACATTAACTTTACTCAAGCACGAATGTTTGTATTGAAAAGTGGGAGTCAGTGAAGTTTCTGCACAGAATTCTTGTAGCACAGGGGTCTCAAACCAGCGGACCGGTATTCTCCCGCTTGCAGCACGCGTCCCTGATGTGACTGTCTTCGTCTAGCATCATTGATGCGAAGAATCTTATGAGCAAGCTTGATCCAGTAGCGACCGCTCTCCACTGCGCATGCGCATCACCTCCTCCTGTCTCTCTCCACTCCTACGCTCTCCCCTTCTCGCCTCGCAGCGCCGTCGCAGGTATCGTATGCTAGCCTACTCTCACTCCCTCTTCTCCCTCCTGTAGGCATCCCTCCTCGCGGCGTTTACACCCTCATTGAATATGCGCGTCCCCTTCCCCTTTCTCTTCTCTCCTACGCTCCCCTCTCTCGCCTCGCAACGCCAACGCGGGCAGCATCTGCTAGCGAGTTTCTTGATCGAAAGAACAGATTGCTCACGCTGCACAACCATTAACTGGCCACCCCGAACATCTATGGGCACTGAATCTTGACCTCCGAGGTAGTGTCGGCGGGAGATTTCTCCTGTGCGTTGTTGAACAATAAAAAATTCACAGCACGCGTGTGAACTAAAAGCGGACTGCGGGTCTCTGTGTCCCATCGGAGTCTTGTCTCGCTCGTTGCCAATCAGCAGCTATTGACATGTTCCAATAGAAAACACGGTCTATCACTGCGTTCTCTGCGCAACGGCGCAATGAGCACCAGCGTCAGCGCCACTCCCAATGTAAGCATTAGCGCCCGCTGCTTCGCATCTACACATGGTTCTCTTTAGCGGAAGATGGAGTACTTTTTAATTGTCCTAATCAGTACGTTCGTGAGCTACACAAACGTCACTGGTCTAAATCATTGTTTTCATGTGGCACCCCATGTGGTCACTATGTCATAAAATGTAAGTGTGAAACAAAAATTCGGTTTAAGTATTGGCGTTCAGCTTTTAGTAGATAGATAGATAGATAGATAGATAGATAGATAGATAGATAGATAGATAGATAGATAGATAGATAGATAGATAGATAGATAGATAGATAGATAGATAGATAGATAGATAGATAGATAGATAGATAGATTAGATAGATAGATAGGGGTAGTTAGGTGGGTGGGTAGGTAGGTAGGTAGGTAGGTAGGCAGGCAGGTAGGTAGGTAGGTAGGTAGGTAGGTAGGTAGGTAGGTAGGTAGGTAGGTAGGTAGGTAGGTAGGTAGGTAGGTAGGTAGGTAGGTAGGTAGGTAGGTAGGTAGGTAGGTAGGTAGGTAGGTAGGTAGGTAGGTAGGTAGGTAGGTAGGTAGGTAGGTAGGTAGGTAGGTAGGTAGGTAGGTAGGTAGGTAGGTAGGTAGGTAGGTAGGTAGGTAGGTAGGTAGGTAGGTAGGTAGGTAGGTAGGTAGGTAGGTAGGTAGGTAGGTAGGTAGGTAGGTAGGTAGGTAGGTAGGTAGGTAGGTAGGTAGGTAGGTAGGTAGGTAGGTAGGTAGGTACAGGAGCTTTTTGTCTCATAATAAATGCATTTATTATTGCAGGAAGAGAACCCCAGCGTTGATATGCGGTGCATTGTGAAAGCGCTTCTGGTACCGCTTGTCATAATGGTTGCTGTGGGACTCATCGTCTTTCTGCAAACCCATGGACAAATTAAGCGGGACAGGTTTTGTACCACGAAAGGCTGCGAAGAACATAAGTAAGCGTTGGAACCTTTCTTTAAATAACTGCATTAATATTTCCATCTGGAATTGAGCTCTTGGTTTAGTAGAATACGTTGGTTCCTCGCCCCTCGATTAAGCCACCTCCTTATTCAGCCTGAGCTGCGGGCAACATTGTATGTCTGCTTGAAGAAATGTAATTATACGCTGAAAACCTTGCATCCCCCGGGGCCTATTTCTCTTGCTTCAAAACAAATATTTACATTCGCCTATTGTTTCTCACTACCGTTTCTTTAACTGTGCCCACTTAGTGCTCACAGGTCACATTCCATATGTGTGTTGCCAGCACGACATAGCCATCTGAGCAGTTTACTTCTCACGTGAGGAAACTGAAGAAAGAAAAATTAATGCTGTTAATTTTAGAAAAAATACCTCCCAAAAATGTCCCACTTTGTATAGGTGTCAGTATTTGTCAAATCTCAGCATGCAAGCGCAAAGGCGTAAATACATTTGGAATGACTGCCCGATATCAACGCAAGTAGGAGATTAATTAGTGCAAAAACTAGCAACTGCCACAACAAAGGACACAGACTTCGATAGGGCTGGTGAGGAAGAGCATACGTTGGCAAAGTAACCGAACTTGCTGTGTTGCGTCGTGAGCGATGCCTGTACCTTGTAGTTTCAGTGTCTATGTTACTTCTTCGCAGTGAGGTGTGCGCAGGCATAACACTTGATCCCTCGTCTATATTATATACACGTGTGCCTCCTATAGTCGGAATGTGGCCATCGCTACAGAACATTCGTCACAGCGTGTGCAACAAACACACCTTACCAACGGGATGAACGACATTTCACACTTGGCGCAGATAGAACCGTCTTCTCCGCAAATAATAAGAATTACTACTGACATCTCTTTACCTCTCACTTGCAGGAATCGCATTGAGACTCAGCTAGACAAAAGCGTGGATCCTTGCGACGATTTCCGTGCTTACGTCTGTGGAGGCTGGGCATCTCGCAAGGAGTTCCGACTGTCACGCTCCCAGATGAGTGATATGCACTTGGCCTGGCTCTACAAGCTTCCAAAGACACTGGACTCAGGCGTTGCACACTTTCCTATAGGTAGGAAAGTTGACGCGATGTTCAAAAGCTGCGTGACACCGGGTAAGTCGCAAGTGAACGTCATGAAAGAATTTATGAAGGAACGAGGCATGCTCTGGCCAGAAAAACCACCAGAAGATGTTGACCCAGCGATGGTGCTCTTCGACCTTTCTTTCAACTGGAATGTGCAGCTGTGGTTTACCCTGAAGGTCCTGCCAGCCATTCCAGGAAAGGTCAAGCGGCGTATATTTTTCATGCTTAATGACCTCATAGTATTTTGGAAGAATGTGTGGAACATGATCCCACCACAATACAACTATGGACACTACACCACCGTCTTCAAGATGTTCGCGAACGACACCAGCAATGTTCCGGACGCCCAGAGAGGTGCGCTGACAATACAAACGGTGAATTACGTTTTCAACACCTTGGCACCGTCATGTCCTTGTAAAGCCCGGATACCGTCACTGTTCCGCCTCGGTGACATTGACAATATCACTTCTCTTCTCAAGGGAGCACGCATAAGAGACATGTTCAATGCCGTGTTGGGTATCTCTCCACCCGTTGCATTGGACGAATTGGTGCTCTTAAACGACCTGTCGCTGCTGAAAAATGTCGAGACAATACTCAGGCATTTCAACGACACAGTTCTGTTGCGCCACGTGTCCTATCTATTTGTATACACGTATGCGGCAGTGGCCTATCCCTTGGGCTTTATGCTGGTACTTCATGGCAGTGAGGCACGCGCCAAGCAGGAACTGCCCCGTTTCTGTGCTGGCCAGATCGAGCCAAGTTTCAAGCTTCTTGTAGCTGCCATGGCTTCCGTCACGCACTTTTCTGAAGAGGAACGTCGCCATGTCGTCGAGCACCTCGATCACATCGTAGAGGTAAGCGCGTAAGAAGCAGCCACGGCACGCGTGAAAAAGATCTGATCGACGAGTAATTGCATTTGAATTTTTATAGCTAACATTCTAACATGTGTAAAGAAAAAATGATGCTTTTCGCGCACTGTAACAGTGAAAGGCTAACGTCTGCTGCACACATCCTAATTCGTTAAAATGTAACTTTAACTTTCGTGTACCAGACTTCTTACAAGCCATATCGAGCCGTAGTGTTATAAAGAGGTATTAACTTATCCTCGCGTTCTGAGTGGATTCTAATGTTGCTCTTCCCTACGTTTATCTGCAATGCACTTCGTCCGCACAGCCTACGAACGGCCTGCCTTTAACTTGGTAATGATGCGTAATGACGTCATTATGGGACGTCACAGGATGACAACATCTAAGACCTAGGTCGCCTGGGCATTAGTGTCGCATCCTTCTCCAGCCGTGTTTCGTTTAAGGGGCTGCTCAACGAAACATCACAGGGTGTTGCCCCAAAGCGAACTAAAACTGCTCCGACTTTAAGGAACAGACTGGTTTCTTCTTTGCTTTTACTATCCTTCCTGCAAACGCTATGTCATACTTTTGACTTATTCATACAATGCGTGGGCAATATCCGCACTTGCGTTCAGATTATGAGGGTTTCGCCCTTTTCTGCTACAAGTTGTTACGTGCGCTTGTGCAGTTGAAAAAGGATAAAACAAAGCGAAACTCTTTGATCGCGCACAATATTCATGCGAGGCAGTGCAGAACAGGCTTGCGACAGCATGGGAGGGTAGGGCGCGACAAGAATTATGTAATTTGTGCATATATATATATATATATATATATATATATATGTATATATATATATTGACCCGTGTCTACATGTGGACAAAAACGATGATGGGGGGATTTAGCGGACACCAGGCAGTGGGCCTCTGGCTTGACGCGAGAACGAAGAAGATCTTGTGGCTCAGCTGTTGAGAACACGCTGCTTTTGCTGCCTCAAGGCGTACTTGTGCTTTATTCGCGTTGTACTGCGACACTGGTGGAGGTGCTGGCCCGCGACCCCGCCTGATGCTCCACACTCCCACGGGGAGCCGTTCATCCAGCTCAGAAGCACTTGTCGACACTCCCGTGCATCGCTTCAGTCGTCGCTTGCGAGGCCTCCTTCCAGAGTTCACTCTCTCACAGGAACACTCTACAAAGCACCGCTCAGATCTACCAATGGCCACCGCCAATCCACAACAGTTACTACGAGACAGTAGTTTGCCAACCCCATCTCAGGTAACCTTTTTTTCACCGCTGGTGCCTGATCGCTTTGGTGGTGGAGCACATGAAGACGTTGAAGAATGGCTTGATCACTATGAACGTGTCGCTAACACCAACCAGTGGTCCCTTGAACAAAGGCTTTCCCGCGCCTATTTTTATCTCGACGACAGCGCTAAAACTTGGTATGAGAACAGAGAAGGCAGTTTGTCATCATGGAGCGACTTTAAAAGAGGAATGATTGACACATTTGCCGATGCCGACCGGCGCGAACGTGCGCAGTATTTACTCGAGCTACGGGTTCAGAAACCCAATGAAACGGTCGCAATGTTCGCTGATGACATGACCCGTCTCTTCCGTAAAGCTGACCCGCACATGACCGACGACAAAAAGTTGCGCTACCTCATGCGCGGCGTTAAAGAGCAATTGTTCGCCGGACTTTTGCGGAACCCGCCAACCACCGTGACAGACTTCATCAAAGAAGCTACGGCTATCGAACGGGCGCTTCACCTACGATGCCGACAATGCGATCGCTTGTCCAGCAGCGCCCACATGCAAATCACCGCTACGGCATCTGAAAATCAAAGCTCGTTGCGCGATTTGATAAGAGAGATTGTTCGCGAAGAGCTGCTGAAGTTCCGGAATCTGGTCACGGAACCACCCACGGCGTCTGTCGCTGAAGTCGTCCGCGAAGAAATACGCCAAGCGTTTTCAACAGCTGATCCTACTGACGATCAGCGACCTATGAGCTACGCAGCCGCGCTTCGCCGCCCGCCGCCCGTTGCGCCGTCGTACCGCCAGCCATCGGCAGCCGTTCCTTGGTCGCCACAAGAACAGACACCGCGACGACCTGCCGTCGTACCACCGTACGAAATGCCGCCGTACCAAGAGCCGTCTCCCAACGGGACACGGCATTTGCCACATTACGAGCCGTTGCGGCGTCCACATCTTCGTAAAACAGACGCCTGGCGCACTGTAGATAGGCGCCCGCTTTGTTTTACCTGCGTAGGTGTGGGCCACATTTCCCGCCATTGCTGGCACCGCGTAGATATGTTTCGACCTCTTCGGCAATGGTCTGACGATCGACGCGCCAACGACGGCTACGCACCACGCCGGGACACTCATTCTCAAGGACTCCCCTTGTCTCAGTCCCATTTTGACAACCGCCGTGCCAATAATGACGACAGTGTGCCTGATTACCAGCCAGGTTTGGGACGTCGACCACGCTCTCCGTCTCCGGCATATTCGCCTTCGTCGCGCCACCGAACTACAGCCGACGTCAGTGGAAGGAGGTCACCAAGTCCACGCCGGGGAAACTGAAGGCGGCGACCTCCGGGGGTGAGGTTGCAGGCCGTCAAGGCGACGAAAAAAAGCCCCCGTTACTTGTACCACAGGACGCCATAAAGCCGAGAAGTTGTAACACCGACGAAACTGTGACCACAGATCTTACCGTTTCGGAAGACGGACAGCAAGTAACAGCCTTAGTTGACACCGGCGCCGACTTTTCTATCATAAGTGAAAACCTTGCCGTACGCCTCAAAAAAGTGAAGACTACGTGGATGGGACCTCACCTGAGGACAGCAGGCGGCCAGCTGTTGATGCCTGTCGGAAGGTGTACAGCAAGACTCGACATCGGTGGCTCTGCTTTCGTGGCGACGTTCGTCATCCTCACCTCGTGTTGCAAGGACTTGATCATAAGGATGGACTTCTTAAGAGAATATGGTGCCGTCATCAACATCCCGGACCATTCAATTACATTCCGCAACAGCTCTTGTTTAGTTGACTGTTCAGACGCAATACGCAACACTTTACGTATAATTGATGATGATGTGGTCGTCCCGCCCCGGTCATGCACTCTTGTTTCAGTAGAAGGCGACGAAGCGTTTGATGGCGAAGGCATTGCTGACCAAATTGGCTCGCTGCTATTTAGTCATGGCATTTTGGTCGCACGAGGTATCGTCCGTCTCACTCGTGGACGCACGAATTTACTTCTGACGAACTTTAGTGCTGAGCGCCGGCACCTTCCGAAGGGCACAGCTATCGCTTCGTACGACAATATTGTAGAAATGCGAGGCAGTTTATGTTTGTCGGTATTGGACGAAGAGCCTAATCCAGAACCAGACCCCATTCACGATGTTGGCACCACTCTGTCAAAGGACGAGCGACAGAGACTTCTTCAGCTGCTAGCCGAATTCCGCGACTGCTTTTCAACGACATCACGAGTTGGTCGAACACCTTTGACAAAGCACCGAATAATCACCGAGGACACGGTGAGACCTATCCACCAGAACCCTTATCGTGTAGCTTCAAAGGAACGCGAAGCCATACAACAACAAGTCGCAAAAATGCTTGCAGACGACGTCATTCAACCGTCACAGAGCCCCTGGGCATCGCCTGTAGTGCTAGTAAAGAAAAAAGACGGCACCCTGCGTTTTTGCGTGGACTACAGGAAGCTGAATCGGGTGACCAAGAAAGATGTGTACCCGCTCCCACGTATTGATGACTCCCTTGACAGACTTCGGCACGCTCGCTACTTTTCTTTCATGGACTTGAGGAGTGGTTACTGGCAGATCGAGGTAGACCCAAGAGACCGAGAGAAAACCGCTTTTGTGACCCCAGATGGTTTATACGAATTTAAAGTCTTGCCTTTCGGTTTGTGCTCCGCGCCCGCAACTTTTCAAAGGCTTATGGACACGGTACTTTCGGGATTGAAGTGGAAGACGTGCCTAGTCTATCTGGACGACGTTATAGTGTTTTCGACCACTTTTGACGAGCATCTCAAAAGGCTGGAAGTTGTTTTACGTGCCATACGGTTCGCGGGCCTAACATTGAAACCAGAAAAGTGCCATTTCTGTTTTCACGAACTTCAGTTTCTCGGTCACGTCGTCAGCAACGCAGGCGTCCGGCCCGATCCTGGAAAAATTGCCGCCGTCGCACAGTTCCCAGTACCCTCCAATAAGAAGGCTGTCAGACGCTTCCTAGGCCTTTGTGCCTATTATCGCTGGTTTATCGCAGACTTCGCCCGCATCGCGTCGCCACTAACTCGTCTCACAAGAGATGATGTTGCCTTTGAGTGGAAAGAAGAACAGGAGGCTGCCTTTAATGACCTGCGTCAACGTCTCCAAATGCCCCCTGTGCTCGCCCACTTCGACGAAGAAGCCCCGACGATGCTTCACACAGACGCTAGCAATGTAGGTCTTGGGGCTGTGCTTGTGCAACGGCAAGAGGACACAGAAAGAGTGATCGCCTACGCAAGCCGAACGCTAACACGCGCAGAGGCTAACTATTCAACAACAGAGAAAGAATGTCTCGCCGTAGTATGGGCAGTAATGAAATTTCGCCCGTACTTGTATGGCCGACACTTCAAAGTTATTAGTGACCATCACTCCCTTTGCTGGTTAACTAATCTAAAAGATCCCACCGGCCGAATAGCGCGTTGGAGCCTAAAACTGCAAGAGTTTGACATGACGGCCGTGCACAAGTCAGGCAAGTGACATATGGACGCAGACTGTCTGTCCCGTTCACCCATTGAGTCGGCAACCCTACCCGAGGAGGAGGAAATGGCATTTCTCGGTGTCCTCGACACGACCGCCATTGCGCAGCAACAACGTGACGACACTGAGTTGCTTGGCTTAATTAACTACTTGGAAGGCAGATCTCAGAAGGCGCCAAGAGTTTTCGCAAGAGTATTGTCATCGTTTTGTTTACGGGGCGGAGTACTTTACAAAAGAAACTTTTCGTCGACAGGATCCGCC